TATTTACTATTTAATTTCAGTTTACTCACTTTTATTTAGTCTGTAAATATAATAACTATTTATCAATCAAAATACAGTGAGATCTATCTAAATATATCTACTGGAACCAAATCTAACAACATGCATTTAGAAAAAATAACTTATAAAAGTAAAGTATATATATTGTTTGGGCCTGAATTTGAGAATATATTTAGAAGGGTTGTGTATTTCGAGATGGTGCATTTAGAGATTTCACTGTATAAAGAATATCTTTAAATATTGCATATAAATAAACTATTGAAACTTATGAATACTTACTATTTAATTTTAGTTTAAGTCTAAGTATAATATTAATAGACTAGAAAATTTGCATATAAGATTATTATATATTTTGGATTTATAAATTGTCTGAATCTAATTACATATTAATCTACATATTGTATAAATTATATTCTTAATATTATCAATAAATATTAACTATAAATATATCAAAAAAGTAACCTCTAACTGAATATGAACATAACTTGTTTGGTTTAAGCTTGATTGTGAAAATTATCTAAGAATCATTTAATTATCATATTATTACTGAGTGAGGTTTTTGCACTACTATAACTACAAAACCTAATTACTATTAGCAAGGTAACTTAATAAACCAAATATTAATCATTGTCTTAGCTACCAGATCAAGATGAACAAAATTTGACCTCTTACTACTGAATGACAACTTATAACTATACTGATTATTGAGAATAGTTTTTTGTTATTTTGTTAAAAAGCACTTCATTACAATATTATATTTTTTTGTTATATATTAAATATATTTAGTAAAAAATTATAGTTTTTGTAAAAAAGCTTTTACTAATTTTATCTTTTTAATACTTTATTTATTTAAACAATTTATTACTTTATATAATAAATCTCTATATATATACTTTTTAAAAATATACTTTTTTATAAAAACATACACAAATTTAAACTCAATATATATATATAATATTTATAAATACAGTCATCCTCCCATATAATCACACAGTAGGGCACATACTACTCTGGTGATTATAAAGAAGTGTGACTTTACAAAGGTTATCTCTATATAATCACAGCTTATATTAAAAATAAATAGTGTGATTTAATAGAGGTAAAAATAAAAAATGTTATTTATTAGAGAAAACTATGGGCACAATATTCATGTGATTTATGGGCGCAACACAGCCTGAATTAGAGTTAAAGTTAAGCATATTTTAGTAATACCAGTTGTTGTTGTACCCATAAGCACATGACTATAGCGATCTCCTTTAAAAACCAACTTTAATGCATTATGTATTCTACATATCTTCAATATTATTAGTTGAAATAATTTAGATAACATGCATTAGTGAACTGCATATTCTGTATCAAAAGAATACATAATAGGTTTTGCGACTTTTTATAGCACTAATAATAGAAATCACTAAAATAGAAAAGTTCTGTAACAGAATTTTTACCATAGTACTTATGATAGAAATTATAATAATTCTGACTCAAACTAACTCAATATTAATCATATATGGTAGTCACTATATTGCAATAATAATAGATAAAATAATATGTATAATATAAATGTATCATAATAAAAGACTATATAGAACAATTAATTAGAAGTAAAATAAATTAAACATAAATTAAGGCAAGTTAGCTCATTTAATTATGATAAAAAAGATTGAACTAATAAAATTTTATACACAGCCTGAAGTGCATAAAAATCTCATCCAAAGAATTGTCAACCAATTTCTCAGTATTATTATAGCATTAATACAAAGTTCTACTGTAGTAGGCATTATTTGAAAATTAAATCTTTCAAAAATAGGTTGTAGTCAAAATTAGCATCTATGGGTATTCTGAATTAATGTGCAGTAGCATATAATCATTGCTGAAAAAATGATATATAGCTACATCATTTATAAGTGCACTTCACACACACTTTCTTTCTATAAATACACTTCACATACACTTTCTATAAATGCATATCATTGATCTACCTAATATAATATAATATTATATATATATAGATCTATTATATAAGTGCATATTCCGTAAATGCACTTTTCCTATTACACGTATTTATAGAAGATTGACTGTAATAGATTAAAAAAATCAATACTTATTTTGAAATAACATATCCAAAATAACATACAAGTCAATTAATTAATACAATATAGACCTTTTAAAAATTTGGCTTTTATCATTAGTTGTTTTAATCAAAAAATCATGAGTGCTACAAATTGGCTTTGATAACTAAAAATTTAAAATTGTAATTATATAAAAAATAGAGCAGACATTCTTGAGTTGTTTAAAGCATGTTATATTTTAATAGATAAATTTTGATTAACAGATATATTTAATGAATAAATCTAATTTAAAAATATAAAGATAACTAAATAAAATTTCAAAAAATACTCAAAATCTTATTTATAATATTTATACTAAGATTTTTTTATATGCAAAGTTTAAATACAATAAAATATTTTAGTAATTTTATTTTTGAATTGCTGAAATACAAATAAAAGTTTATATATATGCACATGTATATATCGCAATATAACTTAATTATCATAATCCTGTGAACTATCTTGTGCCATAAAAAAATCACCAATTGAAGTTTGGCGTTTAGATTTATTATATTTTTAGTTTACTAATATTAAATATTTCTGAAAAATTTTTAGATCCTTGGCCTTAAAATCAGGATCAGTTTGTTGTTCAAAAAAATATATAAATTTATTTAAACCTGTTAATCTTTCTGATATTGAAATTTCTGGTTCTTCTTAATCTGAATCATCAGGATCTCCATGTTCAAATTGATTTGCTTCATCCAATACAACTTTGATAATTTTAGAATCATTAAGCTTTTTCTTAGTTAAGATATGCAAGTTGTTGAGATCTAAATATGTATTTAATTAATTTTCAATTTCCAGATCTGAATCTTGAGAAGTTAAATCTACCACTAATGTGCTGATATCCTGTTCTTGCTGCTCTAATACTGTATCTTGATTACAAGCAGCAAGTTCAATTTCTTCATGAGAAACTAACAGCAAAATTCTAGTTTTATTTCAATAATTAATGATCACTGAATTTTCAATAGCATCCCATGACTCAGATACATAGTAAATAGCATATTAATATTTATTTTATTTCTATATAATTAAAAATTAAAAATTAAAATATAATTAGAGTTAAAATTTATTATATAAGTGCTGCAAGGGAAGACCTGTACTGTATCATTGTGAAATAATGCCTTGAGGCATTATTTTAAAACAAAAATTTTTAAATGAGTTAATAATTAATTTTGCTGAAGATTTTTTTTAAACTTTAATATTTATTTAATAGCAAAGTTTAAAAAAACTTTTCAGCAAAATTAATTATTAACTTATTTCAAAATTTTTGTTTCGAAATAATGTTCTAAGGTATTATTTCACAATGATATGGTGATCAGGCTTTCAATTATATTTTGTACTAGCCAAAATCTATATAATTTATTAAAGAATATGTTTGACACAAAATATAATTGAAGGCCTGATAACAGATTTTCCTTTAGTAGCAATTATATAGTTAAAGCTTAAATTCTTTATTTAACTTTTTTAAATCTTTATTATTTTCAAACTATATTAATATATGTTGAACATATTTTTGCTTATATTTAGATTTGAAACTTTTAATAATACTCACATCTATTGGCTAGAGGTGGGAGGTTGTATTTAGAGGCAAAAATTCAAGTTTAATATTAGTTAATTGTATATTAGAATATCAGGTATAGGGCATGAATGACCATAACCACTGCCATAATGGCTCATACTATCACCAGTACCACGACTTCTACAACCACTATGACAACCATGACTATTATAATTACTACGATTACCACAGCTACCACAGCTATTATTTGAACCTTGATTGGCTTTGGTTAATCTTGGTCTACTATAATCTCGACGATTCCCACGTATGGGGGTTAAAATTTCAGGTTCTAAATTATTATCAAATATTTCTTCTTCAGAATTAATATTTGATTCATCTAATCCATGTAATTCATCAATATTAGTAATATTAGATTGGTTATGAAAATGTGAAGAGACATTATCTATTAGTAACAAGACTTGATATTTTTGAATATGAAATTTTTGGTCTAAATCTTTTAGCCATTCAGAAAATATATTATTTCTCATTCAAGCTCAAGAGTTTGTATGATAAATAACAGGTAAGGTGTTATAATTAATATGAAAAAGTGCACAAGGTAAGATTGATGATCCAATCACTAATAGTTTTAATTTTTCTGTTCCAGTTGCATTACATGCTAACATAATAGTAATTCGTGAACAATCTTAATAAAGTAATCATATAATTGTTGTAGTTGATGCTAAAAATGGCTAATGCTAAAATTCAGATCTATTTTGATATGAAAATTTAAAAATTTTTGAAGTTTCTTGTCTATTTTTTTTTAGAGTTAGATTAGGATTTAAAGTTAGAATTAATAATTAAAGAGTATATACAAGTTTTAGCAGGGCTTATATTCTCAAATTGAGATTCTAAATTTCAGCATCAGCTGTTTTTAGTATCAGCTATGACAATAATTTATATTAAACTCACTAGTAAATTTAGAACTTTAATTATATTAAATAATATAATTCAAGCTACTATTCGAACTGTTATTCAATGCTAGCATATAATTTTATGATATGCATGTCAATAAAATCATATGCTAGCATTGAATGACAGTTCGAATAGTAGCTTGAATAGTAATCGAATCATGTTATTCAATATGTAAAAGTTTTGAATATTACTAATGCTTAATTATAACTATAATAAACTAGCCTTTTTAAAGCCAGGTCTTGATTGTGATGCAAGTATTTGATTCAGTGCTATATGAAAAAAAGCCCTGTTTCATCTGCATTAAACACATTATCTAATGTATATTTTTCAATCAAGTTTTATAATTTTTTTTTATATTCTGGAAGTAAAGATAATGGTGCACTATTTGCTTCACCATGTTATCAAAAATTTCTAAGATTATTATGTCGCTTAAATTTATGAATCCATCTATTTGAAAATTTTAAGACATCATCACCCAAATTTAAAGCTTGTGTGAATATTGTTGTTTTTTCTTTAATAATTAATTCTGTTATAATCATTTCACCACAAGTAACTTGTTCAATCCAAAGCCTCATTGTCTGATCCAATAAAGGATATTTTACTTGTTTATGGTAAAAAGTTATAGAACTCGATTGATTATCCGCAACAGCTAATCATCTTACTTTATCTTTTAAAATTTTAGAAATTGTAGTCTGATCTAAATTTAAATTAGGATCTTGAGAATTAAAGTGGCTTGCAATATCTAGTTGTTTTACATGAGGATGGCTTTGACTATATTCACATATTTCTCATTTTAAATAATCACTAATAGCTGTTCTTGTTCTTTTTTGTGACGAACTTGCAGACATTTTACTTAATATATAGATAAGACCAAATATTCACTTAAAAAATATATAAAATGAATTGCACTTTCACTTTATTCAATAATAGTCACTTTTATAGAAGTACAATAATATAAATTCGAATCTTATTGATACAGTTACAAAATTTTTTATTCTAAACTGTTGCCAAGTGAAAATTAAAAATTTTATTATAAATTAATAATTAGAGTTTAAACAAATTGTTATTTCTAGTTTTTGCTTAGCATAATATTCTTCAAAGAATGGCAGTCACTTCACTAATATCCAATTCAAAGATATTCTGGCTACCAACAAGTGCTCGCTTTATTTACGCTAGCTAAGTCTTTTAATTGATATAGTGAATTAGAATTCAAATTCACACGATTAATAATTGTTACAGATCATAATAAAATTGGATTAAAATGACATATGAGTTTCTATTTAACCTTCTAAAGCCACTTTTACTTGTTTAATATAAATTCTACTCTAAAACTAATCTTTAACCTTAATCTCTAACACTAAAAAATGGGCTTTAAAAATTTTTATTTTTTGATAGCTTGTCAATTTTATAATCTGATTTTATTTTAATTTGGTATAATAATTATTTTAATTAATGCAGGATAAATGATGCAATCAGTTATTGCTTTCTGGTAAATGCAGATTCATTATTATCATTTACTATTTTTATTCATGTTTAATTTAAATCTCTTTATTATATAAGGCCATCAAAGAGAAAACCTGTTATCAGACTTTTATGTACTGTTAACTGCCTATAGAAAATCTATCATAATGATAAAATTTCTATAATGGCTAACTGTATATAAAAGTTCGATAGCAGGTTTTCTTTTGACGGCACCCATATGTGATACGTTAATTTATAATACAAAAAATTTGTTTTTAAAAACAGCGGACTTGCAAGGAGTTTTAATTATCAATTTCCTGCACAAAGGCTAAAAAAAAAATTACATATATAGCATCTCAATCAATAGAGCAAAATGTACCAGGAATGTGAAATTTAAATTTAATATTATTATCAGTAAGTATTTTTAATCAATTGTGTGTATTATATGTGCAGATCAGGACTATATCGAAAAATGTTTTGACCGTTATATAACTTAAATGTAGATATGATTGTATGGAAGAAATTTTACTATTAAAAAGCATCTATAAATATAAAAATATGTGTGATAGTGATTATAAGCATTTGTAACTATATAGAAAGGTTTTTAATAATAAAAAAAATAGTAACTAAAAACTATGTGATTGTATGAAGTTTGTGATTATATGGGAGATGACTATAGAGAGAGATGACTATACATTTTTTTATATTACTCTCTAAATATATATTGCTAAAATTTAGTTCTAAAATTATATATTTATAAAATCTTTATTATATTATTCTAATTTATTACATAAAATATAATATATTTTTTATTTTAAATATAAAAATATATCTATTACTGTATAATTTAAATTAATATTTAAAAAATAAATTATGAATAATTAAACTATATTATTATATTTGTAACTCCTATATATATTTTATGTATCTAGTTGTTGTATTTATAATTTTAGTCAAGTATTTTATATAATATAGAAATAATTTGCAATATACTGAAAAGTTTATTTTAAATCTGATTCTATTTAAAAAAAAACATTTTTTATTATCTAAAAATAATAATCAGTTTTAAAAAAACCTTTAAAATTTTTTTGCAAAAGTTATTATATGAATATATAGTTTAGAAATCCTTGGAGATCTCTAAGGCTTTAAAAGATAGTTGCGTGCCAAATAATAATATAGTCAATGATTAGTTTTTTTTGGCTTTAAGGTAAGGCCTTGCTCATATTTTTATTTAGTAATAATTTTTTAATAGTAACAAAATAAATTACTATAATACAGTTGTTGAGGCTTCTACTTGTAGTCAGAGCTAACTATTAAACTACTAAATATAGAAATTTACAAAGCTACTACTATTTGTACTAGTACAAATAAAAATAAAAATTATATGCAAAAATAAGAGTTCAGATAGAGAAAAATTTATTTGTGACCTAAACCTACTAGAGTGGTCAAAAACTCATCTAGGCTATTATAGTTAAAATATAATTTAAAGAAATACTAAATTTGGCCTAACAATAGGACCAAGTATTAATTTTCTTTCTGGCTTGACAAACTAGTAGGCAGGTTTCTGTGTGTAAATAAAGTTAATCTGGTAATTCACATGAACATGAATATGTATATATTTTCTGTATATGGTTAATATTTTTAGAGTTTGAGTCTAGACTAAGATCTTCTAAATCTAAGGTAATATTGTACTGAGTAGCATTAGGTTTATTATAAGGATAAAATAAGTGTTGTTGCTTTTTCTAGTTGGCAATGTTTAAACAATATAGTTTCTATAACTGTTTATACAGTTGTTCATTAATCTTAAGAAGTAGATTAATTATAATATTTGATGCTGTTTTGTAAGAAGTATTGTAGTTTTGCAATATTTAGATTAGAGATAGAGAAATTAGACCTTTAAGAGTAGACTCAATATAGTACAAGTAGGTTTGAAGAGCTATATTATAAAATGCCTCATGTTTGTAAACTTTTAAGATTAATTCTTCTAATTCATTGTTGGTTATATCTAGTTCTGCTAAGCATAAGCAGTTTGTAATATTGGATAGAATTATTTGATTAAGTAAAGTAGAGTTGCCGCAAGGACACCAATGTGATAGAGAGTTCTGAAAACTACAGTAAAAGCAGTTATTATTAAAAAAAGATTTGAGATAAATAGAGTGATAAAGTGAGTATATAGGAAGTTTATTAAGCAATATTTTAATTTTAAAAGATTTAAGTTGATTAAGCTTAAAGTTTGTAAAATATGTTGTATATCAGAAAATTTTATAGACAGATATATATCAATACTAATCACCCCTGCTAATTTTTATCAATTGCGATTACAATCGATATATTGCAGATTCGTTAGTAATTGATATATATCTACTTTGGCTAGTAATCGATATATATCTACTTTGGTTAGTAATCAATATATATCCACTTTGGCTAATAATCAATATATATTCAAGTTAGCTATGTATCAAATATAATCTATATAAATCGAATTTAATCAATATAAATCAAACCTTATTGATATAAATCAAGTTTAATCAATATAAATCGATAGTTCTGCTAAGTAGAAATCAATTTATGTTAAACTATTGATAACTATCAATATAAATCCAATTTAATCAATAATAATCATTTTATATCTTATATAATTTTTTAACT